GGTGAGAAAATGAGGTTGTTGTTTTTTGACCCAAGGTTAGCTTATGACAACCAAGCATTTTTTTTAAAGTGTGTTTACAACTAGGGGCAGCAGACTTACTGATTTTGGGGCCCTAAGGAATTTGAGGTATGGAGCCCTAGCATTTTTGAAAAGTAATTTACAAATTAGGTTATTTATATATAAAACTTATTTTAATTATTTAAAGTATATTTATATATTTTAATATTTAAAGGAACCTATCTTCTTAATGTAATGTTAAAAGCAATACATTTACCAATTAAAAAATAAGTTAACTTACTTAAGTTAAATTTAACATTTGTTTGTCTTATCATGAGTCACTGGTGGTGAGTCTTCAATAACAGCTTTACTTGCACAATTTCAGATCTGTCAGGTTGTTTCCTGCTGCAGAATAGCCATGTACCTGCTAAACTTGTCATGATGTCCATCAACAGACGTATGTTATAGCTCCTGCTACAACGTTTTACCGCCAGGCCAGAAACAGCTTTATTAACCGTCAAAGTTAAAACAATTAACGTTCGTAAGTCTAACTTAAATGAATAAATAAATAATAACTCTTGGGTATAAGTAAAAAAACACAAAACTAAGGTGAAAATAAAAACTAGGGGGGAAACTGCTAACAGCTAGCTCCCTTAGCGACACAAACAATGAAATGTCCCGCCTGGCTACCTCAGCCAATCAAATAAGAGGATCGGATTCAGAACTCATATTTTAAAATCCTTAGTATTTTTATAGTAATATACAGAATATTTACGATGTTAAATTCACAGTTTAATACCAGAAGAAATAACTCTAGCTGTATAAATGTAGTTTAGTTTGGTTAAAATGCACAAGCAGCATTGCTGTCAATCACCACACCCCCTTGAATGAGAATGAGAATGTTTATTTAAAAATCAAAAGTATGCTTGAACGTGGACACAATTGTGTTGTTTCTGGAAGTTAAATAGCCCTGTCGACTCTAACCAGGAAATTTAGTCTTCCTGTGATTCAGATGTTTCACTGGGTGAAATCAACATCTGCGAAAACAAACGTCGACATGCTGAATGATTGTATTATCACAGTGTGCCTAGCAGATTTTTAAGATTATGGTAAATCATTCACGCGCATAACTTAAATTCTGTGCATGATAAATATTATTTTCTTAAAGGGTCTGGGCAACCTGATGGAAATTGTGTCAGAAAGATTGTGAAATGCCGCCATCTTGAGGAAAAGTGGTTTGAAAGAGGCCTCAGATTGTGGCATTAAAAGGTTCAACTAAAATTTAAATGTACTAGTCTCCCTCAGTTGTTATGAGATTATTTTCTCTGCTGTGCACAAAAGAAGATATTTTAAAGAAAGCTAAACCTAACCATCAACTTTCATAGGAAAAATAAATACTATGGAAGTCCATGTGGTTGCAGGTTTTCAGCTTTCTTGAAAATATCTTCTTTTGTGCTCAAGAGAGATAAAAATAACCCAAACAGGTTTGGAACGAGTAAAGGGTGAGTAAATAATGACAGAATTTTTGGTTTCTGTTAATAAAATTAGCCATCTTATTTTAAATCATGTTTATACAAAATTACTGCCATTTCTATAACCATTTACTAGTGTAGCAAAACCACAGGTAATTTGTGGTTATTATTTAATATAAAAAACATATATGTTAGGTTTTACTTTTATGATAATTGATGATGATGATAATTATTTATTAATTATTTACAAGAGTTTTTGATCATTTTTTTCATTCTGTATAAAACTAAATTAAGCAAATATAACTAAATTAAACTGAATTAAGCAAAAGCAGAGTATTTTAGTACTGAAATCATTTGTCTTGATCATAGTACTTGAACTATCAGATTATTTATCTGTATTATCTTCTGTATAGCACAAAGGACTAATCAACATCGCTCCAAAAATCCATCAGAGCAGAAGTGGGCAACGCTGAACAACTTCCCTTCAGTTTATGTAGATTTATTCAATGTGCTGAGATGGCGAAATGAAGTCAACAATCATTCATAATCAAAAAAAATTGAATTCTTGAGATCATGTTGGAAGGAATGAAATCTTCTTCATTCACAACAAGTGCAATGAATAATACTCTGACGCTTATTGTCCAAGTATTCAGCTCACTGATTTAGATAAACCCTCTGCTTGCCATACTGGATTTGTGAATCTTGCACTGGAAATTTCAAGAAGAGTGCTTCTGCACAACTGGGAGGCTGCAGTATCACCTTAGGCCCCCTTATTATTTGGCCTTACCCCACACCGCCCACCAAACCCAACCACAAATCAGGAACAACATGGAAATGTGGCAGGTCCTAGAAATGTGACCCTATAAATGAGTTTCAGACTCTCTGGTTGTGCAGGAACATATACTATTTATATTTTCTAACCACATTTTTTCTGTGCATGACAGATAATTAAGTTCTAGATTACAATTAGCTGCTGCCTGAGAGGGAGTGCATAAACAACAGTGACAAAATTGGTGAAGAAATGATTTTCACTCAAAAATGGCTGGTAAATTTGACAGTAGTAAGAAACAGCAATCTAACATTCAATTTCAAAAAACAGTCCATGGACCAAAACAGACTTTTCTGAAAAACTGTACGGTGCATAGAATAACAGAATTTATCAATTAAATTAGACTAGTGCAATTTTTCTCAACCATGACCACCAGCTCTGCTCATTTTCCATGTCTCATTAACCAAACACACCTAATTCAGATCATCAGCCCATTAGCCGAGACTAAAAGACCTGTTTTCTCAGAGATGGGTTGCGGCTTAAAGGGCATCTGCTGCATAAAAACTAGCTGGATAAGTTGGCGGTTCATTCCGCTGTGGTGACCCTGGATTAATAAAGGGACTAAGCCGAAAAGAAAATAAATTAATGAATGAATGTTACATAAATAGTAAAACATGCTTTTACAGATGTAAGCTAGGCATAGATAATAGATTCTAAACAGAAAATGTACCACATAATGACTAAATTATGATTATGAAGGTTTTTTGGTCACCTTTTCCTTTTGAAAACCTCTATTATTTGGTCCATCACAGATTATAGGATTTTAAGGGTGTCTGATTACATCAGCTGCAGTAAATTGTGTTTGGGATGTGCATTTAATGGGATAACCAGAGGAAGAGAACAGGCGGAAACCTCATCTACCCGTTACAAAGGAGGTAATAATCATCCCAGTCAAAGATAGCATTCAAGGGTTTCCACTTTCTTGTTGTGTCAGAGGACTGGATGTAAGGTGTTCAGAATACATTGTGGTCAGCAGTGTGGATAAACATATAGTAGACTTGCACTTATGCTGATTGGACTAATTATAATTTTAATTATGACACATTTGCTATTGACAAAAATGCTTACCGTAAATTAATTTTTGTTTTCATTTGCATTTCTGCAGAACTTAAAATATATTAATAAATCATTTTTGCAATGACAGACTACTCCCAGTAAAATGTCATTTGGTTTATTAATAGTTTACACCCCCCAAAATGTCAGTAAAATTTAGAACAACATTCATTTATTGGCTTGGCACAGTCCCAAAATACTATCATCTTAATTATTTAATTAATAGGCTATTTATACTTCGCCACTATGCTTCAGACTATCAGGTTTTACTAATTTCTCAGCAAAACGTTTGTAATAATTGAAAATATAATATAATGCATTATGATTGTTTATTTTGTTTTTTGCATGGTAGGCTATGTTGTTCCATTAATACATAAATACACTCACCGGCTACTTTATTAGGAACTTCTGTCCTGCTTATTAACGCTCATTTCTTTTCAGCCAATCGCATGACAGCAACTTAATACATTTAGGCGTGTAGACATGGTCAAGACAATCTGCTGCAGTTCAAACTGAGCTTGAGTGACTTTGAAAGTGGCATCGTTGTTGGTGCCAGACTGGCTGGTCTGAGTATTTCAGAAACTGATTATGTACTGGGATTTTCATGCACAGCCATCTCTATGGTTTACAGAGAGTGGTCCAAAAAAAGAGAAAATATCCAGTAAGTGGCTGTTCTGTGGGTGCAAAGGCCCTGTTGATGCCAGGGGTAAGAGGAGAATGGCCAGACTGGTTGGAACTGATAGAAAGGCAACAGTCACTCAAATAACCACTCGTTACAAGCGAGGTATAAAGAAGAGCATCTCTGAACACACAACACGTTCAACCTTGAGGCAGGTGGGCTACAGCATCAGAAGACCACATCTAAGAACATGAAACTGAGGCTACAATTTGCAAATGCAGGCTCACCAAATTGGACAATAGAGGATTGAAAAACGTTGCCACGTTTTATGAGTCTCGATTTCTGTTGCGACATTCAGATGGTAGGGTCAGAAATTGGTATCCACAAAATGAAAGCATGGATCCATCCTGCCTTGTATCACTAGTTCAGCATGATGCTATCATGTCAGTATGGACCAAAAGTTCTGTGGAATATTTCCAGTACCTTGTTAAATCTATGCCACAAAGGATTAAGGCAATTCTGAAGGCAAAAAGGAGTCCAACCCTTACTAGTAAGGTGTACCTTATAAAGTGGTCGGTGAGTGTATTTGCTGTTATCCTCAAGTATAATGCAACATTTCATACAGATTTTGACATTTAATTCTTAAAAAATATTAGTGCAAGTTAATTTAGTTAATTTAGGCGCTTTATTTTAAATATGATATCTACATAAAATCGCTTTTCAAAATTTTATTTGATGCAACCAATAAATGTTTTTTAGACCCATTAAAATATATTAATTTACACGCGGGAATAAACCGCGAAAAATTACCAATCCATTTCCATAGAAACGCCTTTCCAGCGTTTGAAGATTTAGTGGGCGTTAGCCAAATCTGAGTAAACGAGTGGCTGGTGTTCATATGATTGACAGTGCCTGTGACCAATAGACGTCAGGAAATAAAGGGACCCACCAATGAAATCTAGAGATAAAAACAATCTCCTTTTCTATTGGACTACAACGCTCAGCTTCCGTTTTAAACGCAAAATAAAGAAGCGGTTTGTTTTGCTTTTCGACCCTTCATTTTCAGAGTTGTGTTCGACATTTGTTCTTTGCGTTTTTAAAGTTAGTCAACGTAATAAATACAAAATGTAAGGATGATATTTTGCTGCTTACTGTCAATTTAAGGTTGATTCTGCAGGTTTAATCGAAGTTTTATCTCACATGGCAAAGCAGGGAGTATCAAGACTAAAGGTGACTGTGACTTTATTATAACAGTTCATTGTTGTACATTACATGAGCTGTTGTGCAGTGTTTTGTTTAAAAACTAAAGGAAGCGATGTTTTGCAGGTGGTCTCATCAGGCAGACTGACAGCTTCTGGACGTGGACAAACGCACAAGAAAAAGTAACACAATGAACAGATAATACATTGAGTAAAACACAGTAACACATTGAGGTAAAGTTGGCTTTATATTGAAACATTCAGAGTTTCCCCCAGTAATATAATGTCAGAAAATATTTTTTGCTATTTCTAAATAATGAAACATTAGCAGCCAATGACTATCAAAGTACATAATTGTTCACATCCAAATAAATAGTGTAAATGCTGTTTTAAAGTCATACTTGCATGAGATTTCACACTGAATATTTCAAACTACTGTTGTAAACAATATAGGAACTGGAGCATATACATATATAGTGATCAATAAAAGTATCTCATAAGAATGCATGATGTGAGTAATATATACTGAACAGATTTAGGCAGCTAAAGTGTGACTGTTCAGTTTGAGTAACTTAATAACCTGTATTGTTTACCATGCTACTTTGAATTTTTGCTCTGAAATCGGACGCAGGTATGACTTCTGAACATAATTAGCACTATTTAATTGACTGTGAAAAATGTTGTACTTTGATAGTCATTAACTGTAATATGACTTCCCTATTTAGCAGTTGCAAAAAATACTTTTCTAACATTATATTAAGAGGGGGAAAGTCTGAAAATGGGAATATGAAACCAACGTTACCTCAGTATCAGTTATAGATGCTATATGAAACGCATTTATCATACAGAAAATGATGTCTGGTTTAGGGTTGCTGGGACGTGTTTGTCTCCTCTTGAACCAGGATATTCACTTTATTCTACAGACTCTGAAGACCAGGTAAAAAAGCCACAAACATGAAGATGTTATAGACACATTTATATTCCCGTGTCAATATCTGACATATAAAATTGCATCCAAGGTGACAACAATCCACAAGGGACTTGACCGATGTGCTGCTTTACTCGATGGGATACTTCAAGCTGAACAAACTGGTATTGTATTTGTGAAACCAGATGTTTTCTTTCTGTTAATCAGTTGATTAGTTTTATGACTATTCAATTATATTATAATTTTCAGAATCCAAGCCCAAACCACAGGGAACAAAAACCTGCACCTTTAAGTCAAAACCCAAGAATCTATCAAGGAAATTTGAGACCGACAACAAGAAAAAGCATTGGAATAAGACAAAGACGGCTATACATGCAAACAAAAGGCCAGGTAATGTTAAGTGATGTCAGTTAATATACAGTAGTCAACATATGAAGTGGTTCAAAACGTTTTTGCTATAGTTGTCCTAAAACAATGCTTCCTAAACTCTGTCCTGGAGGGCCGGAGTTCTGCCTGGAAGTTTCAAGTATACCTAGAAAGAGCTTGATTAGCTGGTTCAGGTGTGTCTAATTGAGGTTGGAACTAAACTTTGAGGGACACCGGCCCTCCAGGACAGAGTTTGGGCACCCCTGTCCTAAAAATGTTAAACAACACCCACAATTTTCACAATTTTAAAAATGTTGACTACTATACCCGAGTCAGAAACTGAGATCATATACCTTGGTGCATATTTGAACAACATTGATTAGTCTAAGGAGACTGAGATCTATTTGTGTTTATCAGGTTCTGTTGAACTTGAAGCCCACCTGTGATTCTGTAGTGTAATTTGTGGTCTTGTATCCTGTTATTATAGAAGCACACCACCAAAGCTTCACATCCTACTGTGCTTTTCTTACTGTAGCTCCAGTTCAGAAGAAGATTCTATCTGCCAAGTGTCATGTAGGTTTGGCAGGGCAGCTGTGTAGTCGTAATGATCAGATCTCTGGCATCAGAAAGAAACAAGTGTCACATGATCAACCTTCAGGGCTGACCACAGAACACGGCCAGCAAATCTCACTTCCACTGTCCAGCTCTCAGCCTGCTGCCAGCTGTAATCATCCAGGTAAACTGATATCTAAATTAATTCATATAGTTTTTAAGAGCCTGCTCATCATGGTTATTTATTAAAATGTTCTGTACTTTAAAGGGATAGTCTTTATGTATGTTCTGTTTGCTTGTTTCAAACCTTTATGAGTTAGATTCTTTCTTCTACTGAACCACAAAAGATTATATTTTGAATAATAGTTACATAGTTCTTTCTACTATGCAAGTCAATGGTTACAGGGTTTTCAGCATTAATTAAAATAAAGTTATCCTAACTTTGGAAACCACCTGATGTTTGGAACCACTTGAGGTTGTGTAAATATTGAGTAAGTTGTCATTTTTCTCTGTAAACTGTGTTATTACTTCTATTCACACATTGATGTCTTCTCTGTGTGGTTCCTCTCTGTGTTTACAGGTCAGGTTCACACATCTACTGTATTTAACACTCGACTGACAACCTCCACACCTGCAATGAGCCCCCAGAGACCAGGATCAGCACCCACTGAACCTGTATGTCTACTGGAATTTATTCCACTGTGCAAAAATTATACTTTGCATTTAAAGTGCGGAGTTCAGATAAAAAAATAATAATGTACTCTCCCTCATGTGGTTTTAAACCTTTAAAGTTTTTTTTCTGTTGAACATAAACCAAGATATTTTGAAGTATACTGGTTGCTGGTACCAATCAACTTCCATAGTACAAAAAAACAATAATATGGAAGTCAATGGCTACCAGCAACTAGCATTTTTCATAATATCTTCTTTTTGTGTTCAACAAAACACATTAGATAAATTTAATAGATTTCAAACAAGTGAATGAGTAAACCATGACAGAATTATCAGTTTTCAACTCTCCCTTCAATAACATGATTACAGACTAATTAAATAATGAGCAAACCAAATTATTTGCACATTATCAGCATAGTTAGATATAACTATATACACTCACTGGCCACTTTATTCGGTACACCTTACTAGTACCAGGACCCACTTTTACCATCAGAACTGCCTTAATCCTTTGTGGCATAAATTCAAGAAGGTACTGGAAATATTCCTCAGATTTTGGTCCATATTGACACGATAGCATCACGAAGTTGCTGAAGATTTGTCGGCTGCACATTCATGATGCGAATCTCCCGTTCCACCACATCCCAAAGGTGCTCTATTGGATTGAGTTCTGGTGACTGTGGAGGCCATTTAAGTACATTGAACTCATTGTTATGTTCAAGAAACCAGTCTGAGAGGATTTGCACTTTATAACATGCCGCATTATCATGCTGGAAGTAGCTATCAGAAGATGGTACACTGGTCATAAAGGGATGAATATGGTCAGCAATATTACTCTGGTAGGCTGTGGCCTTGACACACTGCTCAATAGGTACTAAGGGGCCCAAAAGAAAACATCCCCCACACCATTACACCACCTCTACCATCCAAATCTTGCAGCAGAAATCGATACTTGTCTGACCGGGCAATGTTTTTTTAAAATCTTTTATTGCAGAATTTTGGTGAGCCTGTGTAAATTGTAACCTCAGTTTCCTGTTCTTAGCTGAGTAGCACCCGGTGTGGTCTTCTGCTGCTGTAGCCCATCTGCCTCAAGGTTAGAAGTTTTGTGCATTAAGATGCTCTTCTGCATACCTTGTTTGCTGCCATATGATTGGCTGGTTAGAAATTTGTGTTAAGGAGTAATTGGGCATAATAAAGTGGCCGATGAGTGTATTTTTATTTTTATTTTTTTATCAGTATCAATTTTGAAGCTGTAAGCTGATGTGTTTTCTTAAGATTCTTCTATTAATAGGAAGTTCAAAAAATCTTTGTTTAATAGCAATATATATTTTTAATTATGCAAGTCTTCACTGTTTTTTTAAATGAATATATAATTCCTGTATTAGAAATATACATTTTAATTGGTGACCTTAAACTTGTGAAGGATAAAATCTAGTGACTGTAATTTTTTTTGGTTTCTTGAAAACTGTGAGTTTTATTTTATTCATAATATTTGCTTTTGTACTTGTTTCACTTTCCGTCAGTGTACATCAAATTGTACATTGAGCAGTGGTTGCCCATCTGAAGAGTTTCATCAGCTGAGGACAATGAGTGCTGCCATCCCATCCTGCCCTCATGGGTCTGTGGAAATATCTGGCATTTCAAACAAGCATGCTGCTACTTTCTCCATGCCATCAGCAGCTCAGCGACAGTCTCCAGTTGCAGTTTCTCCTGTTCATAATGAATCCTGCACTCCAGTACCAGCCAGCCCAGTCAGCAGTGTTCATGAGCTGGGGTCTGTGGAGCCAAGTGTCTCATTGGCATCTTCCGTTGGATCCTTGAGCTGTTCCTCGTCGACGTTGATCGAAACACAAATGTCCATCCAACCTCAGGTCAGCCACAGTTTAAAAAATGGAAGATTCCACACAATTCATTTGTGTTGTCTCAACACAAATCAGTTAATCATTCATTTAACTTGATTGTTTTTACAAATTGAAGTGGATTGAACATAAAACATTTTAAGTTGTCCACCCAAAAAAAACTTAAGAATTGGGTTGTTTTAGCTAGTTTTAAATAAATGGTTTAAACAAGCAGCTAAAATCGTTTTTTTAATTTTTTTATTGCAGGCTCAGACCGATCCTGATGGAGCAGTACTGATTGTTTGCAATGGCCAGGGGAATTTGAAAGAGGACAACGGTAGTGCAGAGGATGAAATGGAAAAGCATGGGAAGGACATTACTCCTGTCAGGGACATCAGCTGTCAGACCAGCACTGAGACATTAACAGCTCTGACTCACAAAACCAAAGCCAGTCCAGAGAAAACCGCACAGAAAGTCATGACTGTTAAATATCTGCTGGGAGAGCTGAAGACTTTGGTTGCCAATCATGGTGAGGATATTAAATTATATTTATTTTGTCTCCTCCCTCTGACTTTTATAAGAAATTAAATCAGGATAAACTCAAAAACCTTATGCTGTGTGTCCACCGAAGCATTTTTGGCAAGCAGAAAATGGCTAGCTTTAGAGGATCTGTTTTCAACTAGAGCAAGGTAAACAAAGAATTACTTCAAGAATTTTTCCTAATAATATTGTCTGAATATGTCATTTGGTATGGATACTTGTTGACAAGCTATAATGGTTTCTTCTTTGTTGTTGTTCAGTCACTCTACAGGCAGAATGTGACTGACTGGTAATAATATTTGTACCACCCCCTCAACTATGATTGGATGGTTGGTTAGAAAAAACAATACTAATGAGGGCTTCCTGTTATCCAAATATAGATATGCTCTTCTAATTTTTCTCTTGCCGTTTTTATATACGTGACACTCCATTTGAAAACATTGTAAAATTAAAAAATTGCTTTCCTTTCTCAGCTTTGATGAAAGTTTTTACGCAATTGCATGCCACTGTTCAACTGAAAGCGCGCACGCGTGTGTGTGTTTTGGCTATTCATTTACATAAAAGCAGAATATTAGCCTAGAAAACCAAACATCTGACAATGGGTTTCAAAGTGCCAATTTTGCTACAAACTGCAAAGTTATTTTATGAAAGTAGAGACTAGAGTTGTCGCGATCCTATTAGGTAATCTTTCGATACTATACTAGCTGAATATACAGTGCATCTGGAAAGTGTTCATAACACTCCACTTTTTCCACGTTTTTTTATGTTACCGCCTTATTCCAAAATGCATTAAATTCAATTATTTCCTCCAAATTCTACACGCAATACCCCATAATGACCATGTGAAAATTTTTTTTTGTTTTTAATTGTTGCAAATTCACAGCCTTTGCTCAATACTGTGTTGATGCACCTTTGGCAGCAATTACAGCCTTAAGTCTTTTTGAATATGATGCCACAGGCTTGGCACACCTAAACCTGTTTGAGTTACTTTCGAAGAAAAGAAGATATTTTGAAAAATGCTGGTTGCTGGACCCCATTGACCTCCATTTTATTTGTTGTAAGAATGTTGTAAACCAGCATTGCTTTCCATAATATTTTTAGGAAGAATTTAATAAATGTTTAGAACCAATCGAGTGGAATAAAATAGTGAGGAAATGTAAATTTTTTAATGAACTTTTCTTTTAATATGCAAAAACATTTTACCATTTGTCAACTCCTTGTTCTCTGTTGTTGTGATCAGAATTTTGCAACGGGTCTTATTATACGGTCATCTCTTTTTTTTTTCTTTTTCTTTTTTTCCTGATCTGTATATTTGATTGATGGAAGCAAGATCTTATTTCAACCCTGAGATGGTTGGATCTAATTCACTTTCTGTAATATAATATACAATATAATGTAATAAAATGGAACCTTCAGATGCGAGGAAGGATCGAGTTGCTGGTTTTGCAGATTCATGAAACATGCAGCAGATTTTTCCCTATTACAGTATCTCTGTATGACTGTGTTGTTTTTCTGCAGATGGTGATGCCGTGCGTCTGATCTCCGAGGTGGAGCAGAACATCTCACTTCTTCCTGTCATGGTGGGCAGCACCAACATCCAGGCTGAGATTGCACTCGCCGTACAGCCACTCAGGAGCGAGAATGTACAGCTGCGAAGGTCAGCCATTTGAAGAGTCTATAAAACACCCCTTACTGATAAACAGTTGAATTTTGCCATTTTTTTTATCCATTCAGCTGATCTCTGGGTCTGATAGGAACACTTTGAGCTTAGCATAGAGCATTGAATCGTATTAGACCATTAGCATCTCGCTCACAAATGACCAGAGTTTCAATCAGTTTTCTATTTAAAGCTTGACTTTTCTGTTCTTGATTATTAATCCGCAATGAGAGTATAGTTCCTAGCCACAGTTTTCTGTACCTGAAAACTGTATCTGACTCCCTAGACTTTGTTTTATCTATGCTTGTGTTGTATTTTATGAAGATGCACTCCCTTAAAAAAAATCACGCGAGTCATTTTAAAATAAGGAAGAACAAAACAATTCTAATCATTCACTAAAATTATTTTTTATGTTGCTAAAAACTAAATAGCACAGTGTCCGTTTTTTCATTATCATGCGGCCATATTTGATGTACAAATTTAGCCCTATTTCACTGAAGTAATGAATCATTCAGATAAAAAAAAGTCAGTGTTTCATAATCAAGTCAGTTCAAAGACTTTGTAATCGTTACATTTAATCATTTAGCAGACTCTTGTCCAAAGTGATTTACAATTGAGGCGTTCAGCAAGAAAGAAGACGACAGGCAAAATAATGTTTCTACAGGTGGTTTGTCAAACCCACTTGTGTATAGCGCAATTCATAACTGCAGTATTTTTTGCATAGAGATGGAGTGAATGTAAGTTCATGTCTGGGGCCAATGTGCAAAACTGGTTGAAGTGTTGGTTTAAGTGTCAGAAAGGTAAAAGTGTGTTTTCTACAGGTGGTTTGTCAAGCCCACTCACCTGTGTGAGGCACATTTAAAATTGCATAATTGTTTTTCAGGTTGTCTTGTAATGTGGTGGGGAGAGAGGAGGAGGTTCTGGTTTTGTCTGTAGGTCTGTAGATCGGTTCATTTGGTCCGGACCAAGGGCAACAAATGATACATTGTAGCATTTTCTGCCGTCTTTGGTTCCTTTTTTTTTTTTTTACACCACACATTGCTAGTGTAGAATTCAACTAGTTAAAAAAAAATGCAGTCATCTGACAAAACCCACATCACTCATTGGCCAGATGTTATTAAATGCATATACTAAACTGTTTGCCTGTTTGGTAGTTCTGACCAAGCGAAAAGCACAGTCGCTTTCGACTATGGAGGTACGACTGCACTGGCTGATTGTATCCCTGGTTATAGTATACTATATAGATTGTATACATCACTTTAGACAAACTATACATTTCGAGAATGAAGCGCGGCTGCAGTTGAAAAACATTGTTTTAATGCACTGCAAACGGCGATGGCGCATTGCAGGTCACTTCAGGACACTTGAATTAATTTAGCTAAACTGCGACTAGTCATCTTCCGGAAATATTACCAACGATTTATCAGGTAATGTTTTCTCAGTCTCTCTCTCTCCGTTGGTAAAGCGCTATCAACAAATATTTTTCCTTCACATTCCATAATGCACAGCGCATCGGCTTACAGCAGCTGGATTAGTCCAAAAAGGCACAGTATTTTTGCGGTTGGGTCTCTTTTAGTTTGGATCATATTCTCACCACAAACTGACCACTCCAGAATTTGTTTGAAAGTGTCCTCTTCAAGGAGGTCAAGGTATGCTTTTTTGGTCCACTTTTGGTGCACACTCGAATACGAATGCTGCATTCACACCTGGCCAAACGAACCACACTAAGAGGAAAAACAAACTCTAGTGCAATTCAACTGAACTAAAGACAGGTGTGAAAGCACACTTAGTTGTCTTTTGAATAATATTAGTGAATCAGGAGTCTATGTGGGAATGGGAAGATCATTCCAGCAATTCCACCTTTCCAGTTGCACAGAATGACATTAAAATATGCTGTTTTAGAAGACTATATTGTTTGGTTTGGCAGATTATGTTTTTAAGAAATATTAATTTTATTTAAATTAACCACACTAATTTTTTCCCCAGACGTTTGAGAATCCTCAATCAGCAGTTATTGGAGAGAGAAAGAGCAGAACGGCAGACAAGACCAGAAGCCTGTGACATGGAGGGTGAGCGAATATAACCCAATAAAACCCATTTTAAAGGCGCAGTATGTAAGATTGACACCCAGAGGTTGAACTAGGTATTGCACTCCTAGTTCAAAACCCCTTTTCACTCGGTGGCTCCTCTGACGATTCCACACAAGTGCAGGTTGCCAGATTGACAACACCAACAGGAGGGTGCCTGACTATCAAGCCTAAATAGAAGGAATATTTTGCATGTGAAAGGAAGTTTTTGACGGCGTTTAGCACGGTCTCCTCACAGCAAGAAGGTTGCTGGTTTGCGTCCTGGCTGGGCTAGTTGACATTTCTATATGGAGTTTGCAGGTTTTCCTGTCTTGGTGTGGGTTTCCCCCACAGTTCAAAGACATGTAGTACAGTTTAATTAGGTAAACCGAATTTGTATAAGTGTGAATGTGAGAGTGTATGGGTGTTTGCCAGTACGGAAATGTATTGCTGTATATTCTCAGAATGTATCCTTCTATTTTCCTGACTAGCACAGTGGTTGCGATTTAAAGGGTTTTTTGGTTGTGTTTCAGTGGTTGCGTTGCAGTCCCTGAACCTTACTCTACAAACCCAGTTAAATGAAAGCCGTGAAGAGCTTGATGTTCTACATCAGGAGAACATGAGGCTGCGGAAAGCCGCGGAGGACAAAGACGGTGATTTGAAGCACCTGAAAGACTTGTGCGAGTTGGAGAACAGTCGGCTAAGGCTGGGTAAGAGTGCTCTCTGAGATTAAACTATCCCTTTAGGTCATTTCATGGGAACCGGCTTTGTTATTTTGATTATATGTTATTACGTTACACTAAATATGTCATTCCTTTGTAATGTTTTTTTTTTTACCCAATGTTTTTTTGTAAACTTAACTTTTTATTCTCTATTTTTGTTGATCGGTATGACTTCATTATAACACAAATCCTAAGTTATCATTTACTAATATTAAAAATGCACGACTGCTGTTAAATTTACAATTTAAAAAAAAAAAAAATCTTTTTTTTTCATGTAATTTATACGTATAGATGTGAGCGAGGCCTTAGCTGAGATGCAGAGCTGCCAAAGTAAACTCAAAGAATCTGAGACTGAAAAGATGGCACTGAATTTGAGTCTCCAGCAGAGGGAGGCAGAGATCGGCAAACTGCAGGACATCATCAGGTATCTGACTAAACTAGCTGTTAAAAGCTGTGATGGATGAAAAAAAAAGCAATAAATTGTAAAATTATTTTGAGTTGAAAATATCTTAAAGGTACAGTTCACTCAAGAATGGAAATTCTGTCATCATTCACTCACCCTTCACTTGTTCAAAACGCATGCGTTTCTTCTGTTGAACACTAAAGAAGATATTTTGCTGCCTTATGGGACCCATCGAATTCAATAGCAAGAAAAAAAAAAGCACTCTTGATTAGGCATGGGCCGGTATAAGATTCTGACGGTATGATAACAGTGGATAAAAATATCATGGGTTCACGGTATTGTGATTACTGCTCTAAAATATATTCTTTTAAATGTCTTGGTAAAAAACTTAAATGTTTTCCCTTTGAACACAATATATTTTGTTTTGAGAAACATTCATAAAATTTTGGTGCAGTAAAACATGTCAGGCTAAATATCATTAGCTTCTGCTGTCTCCATTTGTTTCAAAAACAATTTCATTGTGATTTAAAATGGCATCCTCTGATATTTTTTCTAAAAAAAAATGTAAATAAAAAATCGTACAAATACCTTAGGAGCGGTATAGCAGAAAATGTTGGTGGTTTTAAAACCTTCACTTTTCAAAACCGCAGCATTTCTTAAAAACCCATGCCTACTATTGATGTTGATAGATCCCAGCAACCAGCATTTTTCAAAATATCTTCTTTTGTGTTCAACAGAAGAAACTTGTTTGTTTGAAAAGTGGGAGAGCTCCGGATCGGGCTCGGGGGTGGTTCAGTTGGCTGACCCTGGCCCGGTTGGAAGAAGTGTGCCAGAGTGCAGTTTGCTTGGCCTTTGGCATGTTACGCTTGTAGTGTGAGTGCAAAACTTGCCTGAGTGCGAAACTGAAGGCCTGACATCACTTTTAAGGGACTGTTTCATATGGATTTATTAATCATTCTTTCTTTTCAATGAACTCAACTGTCTTCGTTTATCAAAGATGCAAACCCACCGCTGCACGTCAGCTGCCACCTTTAGCACAATGACTTTCCCTTAAATACCATTATATTTTATTCGTATTCTCTCCCCTACAGAATCATTACAATCACTCTATTCATTTAATCTGGTGCCCTTTATACTCAATATCACATTATGTATTGCAAAAAAATCAAATATCAATATTAGTTTTTTCCCTGTAACGTGCCACCATATTTTAGTGCACTTCAGTGTTGTTTTCGTATATGCCTACATGAACTAAAGGGACGGACAAATCTACCAGCTTCTGAAACAAACTAATATATAATATTTTAACCAATGTTGTAACCAATCTTTTTCCTACATACAGAAATCTGCAGAAAAGTCAATCAAACGTGAGCTATTCTCCTCACCAGGATGTGCTTCAACCAAATTCCCAGCTCACTAAGAGTGTTCTGGAACTGCATGAAGCTGCGGCATCGGATAAACCTTCAAATTCAGTTAAAACCTACCTTCAGACTCTGGAGGACATCAGACAGGCCTCTCCTTCCAACCACATTAAATGTAGGTCAGAGAAATTACATCCAGGTCAAACTGATGGTAAAAACTATGACATTTTACTTTCAGATACAAAAATCTGCTTAAAAACAGATAGAGATATACACAAACCAACCCTGGAAACCATAGCTGAGGACATGCCACAGTTAGAAGATCAGAAAAAAACTGTGTTTGCTCCTTTAAGAGAGACTCCATTGGTGCAGCTTGCTCGTAGTGATCCATTAACTCACTGTAATCAGCAAATAGCAGCCAGAAATTACAGGAAAGATGTGGATGTTGAGCTGAAATATGTGGGCCGTGGTCTTGAAAAGCTGGACATCTCTGGACTCCACATTCAGAATGCCACATGTGAGGGCCGAGATTATCTTGGTGTGGGTTTACATTTAAATCAGCAAAATAAGGGACTAAACAATCAACAGTTGCAAACCCAACATGTCCATCGATTTCCACGGTTGGCTTCTCAGTCTGCTTACACTGGACGACCTTCAGCGATGGACAGCACTCTTTCCTCGTGTGATATTAAATCTTTAGCCTCTGATTGGAGCATAAACTCCTGGTCCACATTTAACACACAAGATGAGCAGAATTTCAGGGACGGGCTCGCAGCACTTGACGCCAGCATAGAAAGTCTGCAGAAAACCCTGAAAGTTGATCTAAACAAATAATTTGGTATTTCAGCGTGCACTGCGTTTTTAGTTTGACTACATGCAATTAATGGGTGTTTTTATTTGTTTCTCTTTTTTTTTTATTAAATTATTATATGAAATTATTGTGTGGGACTATTTTCAGGCGCTGTGTGGTATCACTGCACTTGCTGTAGCCATGGTAAGGCAGCAAAGTCTCTTATTTCATCGAAATGATAATATTGTTCCTAGCCATCGTCCTTAAATATTGACCTCATTTTCCATTCATCAGCGTGTAGAGAGGAGTCCAGCTTTGAAAAGAATAATAATCTAAACTCTGGTAATTTTTGAGCGAGATTTTAATCTCAAAGTGTAATTCGCCAAAACTGGAGATTGGCTGAATGGATTAGAAAATGGTAAAACTCAGCTGTTTAACTCTAGAAAATGAGCCAATTTTTCCAAAAAATGTGGAGTGTTCCTTTAGTAAACTAGTTAAAGGGCCATAAAACCCTACCTGTCTCGGCAGGGTGTTTTCACACCTCTAGTTTGGAAAAAAAGGGGAGTTTCAGTATGTGCACATGCTGATTTTTACTCTTGGGACACAAACACAGACGCAGAGTTATTCGGAGAGCAGCTTTTACAGTGGATCTGAGAACTGTGTGGAATTGGAGGATTTTTAGTTCATAATATTGTAGTGATATTACTGTAAACTTAGTATCTAAATCATTTTGACCAAGGGCGCACTCACATTATGCTATCTGAATCGTGCCCAGGCGCATTTCCCGGTTCGTTCAAGAAGTCCGAGTGCTCTGAATCAGGCTTAGGCACCGGAGGTTGGAAGAAGTTTGCCAGAACATGGTTCAGTTGGGCTTTGTTGCGGTATGCTTGTAGTGTGACTGCAAAGCACGCCTGAGCCAGAAACCGAAGACGAGACGTGACTTTTAAGGGACTGTTTCATATGGATTTATTAATCATTCTTAATTCTCAATAAACGTGAACTGTCATAGTTTAGTAAAAAGTAAATCTTTTGCTTTTGAAGCACGTCAGCCTAAACTTCCGCAAACCTCCTAATACCTGCGGCATGAAGACTTTTATGATAATTTATGAGCGTTAGATGTTCGGGAAAATGTTTGACTGTGTGTCATAGACTAAAAATAATACATAACGATATAACTAAAGCAATCTTTACTGTGCTGAGCGAAAGCGCTTCTCTTCCTATTTAACTTAATAGTCGCATCATCGATAACATAAGCGTGCTCCAGTTCAGTAGGTAAAAAATGCATTGTGAGTGCAGGTCGAGAGAGAAAGGAAAGGGGACAATCGTACTTCGGTAACTGTACCTATTGTGAGTACGCCCTAAGGTATGTCTTAAGAGGCTGACGATACTAACTAACTTTGCCTTCTGAATAAACATAAAGAACATTAATCACACACTTACCAAATCTGTAGAGACAGGACAATCAACATGTACTGGAACCGCGTCATTTTTTTTTTTTTTTTTTTAAAGAAAATGAGTGGCAAATCCGCATTTCTAGATTTGAAAAGCTCTCGGATAAACAAAAATGTTCCTTACAAACATATTTTTGTCCCATGTTAGCAGACCACTGTAATCCAACTGCTTGGGTCCTCATGCAGGCTGTGCTCCCATCGCAGAGAAATGGAAACAAAACCTTTATTGCGGCACATTTATAAATGGAACACTAACGACCCATGTTGTGAACACTGCTACTTGCTTGAAGCACAGTTGGCAACACAACATGGCGTCTCTCTGAACACTTTAACAGGTAAAGAGTCTTCTAAGTGATATCATGCATATTAATGAAGTTGCTTCTCATTCACAATAGAGCACACTGATTGGTTAGAACCAAGTTTTACTTATCAATTAAAGAACAGATGTGCTGAAAACTTCATGAAGTCACTTAGTACTGGCCAGTACAGACAGCCAATCTCCATGCTAGAATTTACACAATGATCTCATCGCCGTGACATTGCTCCAAAATTTTTAAATGTGTCCTAATAGTGTTTTTAGCAGCGAGGGACACATATTACTGTCAACATCTCAAAAAATGTGTTTTGGTGTTTCGTGATCCTTTAAGTACTACCATTGATCCGTTGAGATGGTTTAAGTCGTTGATCAAGATAGCACAACAGCTTGATTTTGAAAAAAATAATGCGTGGTTTTTGATTGCTTCTGCCTTCAATTAAAATTTATCCAGAGGTAGAACAAAAAAATAGAGGACCCCTTGATGAACAAGTTAGCAGCTTGACCATAGCTAAGTACATGAAGCGCTATTGGTTTAACTGTCAGAATAATTTGTAATGACTTTATGTGCTTTATATGGACTGCAGGAGCCCAGAACCTGAATTTTATACTCTTCTTTGGTTTTGTTCAGTTGACAAAGTATCCAAATATTCATTGCTTAAGTCACAATAAACTGTTGTTTTGCTTTTCTACGGAGATCCCATTTGAGGGAATATTTTTGCCCGCCTGGGTTGCATAGACCGAGTCTAGAATGCAGCACGTTAGAAGAAACCAAAGTTCTCAGGAGATATCGGCCAAACTGAGGTGGGCAACCTCAGGGTTGAGGGCAGGAAGAGGGGAATCCTAGGTCGAAGCCACCGATGAGCCTGATTAAGGGGATGACAGACCACAGAGCTGCAATCGAAGGGCTTGTAATGGATTACAGGACGTGTGCAGATGGGCTTTCAGCTAAATGGATGTGTGGTGCTGGAAAGTTAAAGATGGCCAGGCTGTGTTGAAGCAAGTTGAACTTTGCTTGACTCTCCAGGACACGGCCCTCCAGGACAGAGTTTGGACACCACTGTCTTTAAGGATAATCGGTATGTCTCTGCAGTTCAGAATCCTTCTATTATTAATTTTTTGCGTACAACAATAATTGAACCGTGCTCATATCATTGCAGGTAACAATATCAATTTGCAGTTTGGGAGAAACAGGAACTGCTTAAGGAAAGAAGGGCAACCAAGTGGGAGCGGCATATTTGAGGGATCTTCGAGGAATATTTGCAGCCTGTTTGGAAGTGGAGGTGCTGTTGGATGTCAAGCTAATGGTTTGCTTGTAAGTCGTCATTCGTGATGCAGAGGAGAAGTGCTAAGATTCTTTCTCTTCTTGGTTTATTCTTAAAGACTTTTTTTCTTAGAACGCAAAATTACCCATTATGCTTTGCATGTATACGCTAGGAGGATGCTTCGAACTTCCAGTTGGCTGCAGATGCGTATAAACCAGGGGTTTCCACACTCTGTCCTGGAGGGCTGGTGTCCAGGAAAGTTTAGCTCCAACCCTAATCAAAGACAACTGAACAAGCTAATCAAGCTCTTACTAGGTATACTAGAAACTTCCAGGCAGATGTGTTGAAGCAAGTTGGAGCTAAGATCAGCAGGACACCGGTCCTCCAGAACCGACTTTGGACACCGCTGGTATTAAGTCACATTAGGACACCTTTTGAAATTATAGTTGTAATCTATTTTCCTTGTTATTAATGTCTTTGAACTAATACTGCTGTTGATCAGCGCCACCTCCTAGGCTGATCATTGAAGTGTGATCTAATGGTAATTTTTCTCTCGTTGTCAGACGGCATCTTGTGCCGTTAAATGAAGCCTCGTCATCGCTAAAGTGAACATTTTCTCTTTCTTCAAAAATATAATCAACACAAACAAATGTAATTCACCAAAATGTTTGACACACTTCTAGCCTGTACTGTCCTACTAACACATTGATTGAAAAACTGACACAGTGAAAATAAAGTGGATTTTTGAAATGGCAGGAAAGCACAAACCATGGTAAATACTACACAGCACAAACTAACTAAATGAAACATAACTGCTCCTGATTAGAATCACCATGCAAATCAGCTAGCATAGTATCAGTAACTGACTTTTATTGGTAATTATTGGAAATTGCATGGCTTACATACCTGCTAGTTTCATGCCAGTAATATGGTTTGCTCTTTATAAAGCAGCAATCTTGTGTTTGTGCATTGAAGTACATTATAACAGCTGACAGGTCGGGAACACTGACTATATTTCAGCATCTGATCTGATGGCAGACACTGAATCAGTAGAGCGTTTTTCTCTCACACTTGAACAGCATCTGACAGCATACTGTAATGGCTTTAACACGCATCTTTCTTTTAAAATTAAAGTTTTGCATTACAAAAACACTCCATAAGCCACTGAAAACAGTATTGACACCCAGTTGAAAAACGCTGCTCTGGCTGATGACAATTCTTAAAAGTTCTAAGCACCCTACCAGAACATGCTGGTCACTATGGCACCCTCCATGCAGCAACAAAGAAAAAAAGGTCTATGTAACCAATAATAACGATGCTAGTCCACATCACAACTTGATTACATTAGTATTACTTTCATCACACATTTGTCTGTTTAATTCTGTAAGATACTACTGTTGCTGTTTCTACAGCCCAGTACAGTGCACCTATAACCATCAGCCCAGTGTGTCTCTTTGCCACCATCCATTGGATCCTTTACTCCTTGTTGAATGTGCCAACATACTAGAACTGCTATCAAATTCAGTAATTGAAACTTTATTAAATATTTGAGAGTGTAAGCACACTATTGTAATGTTCCTAGTATATGAAAGACAGCCAATAATAAAAAAGCATTTAATTTTATTTCAAATTAAAGTGGAGAGAAGCTTTAATAAATGTAATAGTAAGCAAGAGCTATCTTCTGTTGGCCAAGGTAGCAGGACAGCTTGATTTTAAGTGAAGTTTATTTATAAAAATTTTTCGAGAGGATCACGTGCTTGTGATTGTTCACAGCTGTTCCAACATTCGCTCGTGACTAATTATCCTATCAGACGATTCTTAACTCACTATAAATAGCCAGACTTTTCTCATCTCCATATCTTCATCTTAAAGAAACCCCCCCACCCAACCCTACTTTCCCTCCTTTCATACAGGCTACACGTTGGCCAGTGATTAGCGTTGTTGCCTTACAGCAAGAATGCCCCTGGTTTAATTTCCTTCTAAACCAGGCGACATTTCTGTGCGGAGTTTTTTTTTTTTTTGGCTCGTTCTACCCGTGCTCGCGTGGGTTATCCCTGGGTCCTCCGGTTTCCTCCCACAGTTCAAAAACAAGCACCCTACACAATTAATCCAAAATATTTTTAGCCAAGCTCTGAGTACACACTTCTAAATCTGACACTTAGCTACAATAAGCAAGAGGGGAGGTATCGAGATCTACCTGAGCTCAAACTCCCCTCTCGCCCTGCAACGGGAGGGAGCCCAGGGCTCGAGGATCCAAACAAGCTTTATTATCAATCATCAGCTAAGTGTGAACTCTTGAAAGATTTGATTAGAGGTTTGTGATTTTGTGTCTACCTTAAATAGATCTATGAGGAGTAGAAGAAATCCAAAAAGACATCAGAGATCTTGATTAACAACTTTTTCAGCTTACTATCCTGTACCTAATGAAAGTTAAGTTACTCTTGTAACTACTACAATCTGTATTCATGCATTACAGACACACTTTTGTTTGACATGGTTCTCAGATTCTGCATTTGTACAAAACATTTTGTCATTCTACATCTGATCACAGTTTGCTCAGAATTTTAGATGTTGCAGAGTAAAATTTTAGGGCAGGGCATTGTCATTTATTAAGCACTTGTTTCTTTGCAGGCTTGATGTCACAATCTCATATGAAGACCCAGCTGGAGGACAAAATGGCTTTCCTCTACTGACTGCCATTCATTTTTCCCAGGTTTGTACTAATGTTGAAAGACCAAATTTAGTACATTCCTCGATGATGTGCACCGTATGCATATGAACAAATTTGCCCATAATATAAAAGGCCATTGCAGTTCTAATGTAATGTTTTTTTTTTCAGGTCTCTGACCACTCATGTGACGGGGAAATATGAACTTTATGGCCATGTTGACTACACCAGGCACTGTTTTAAAATCAGGCAGGCTGGTTTTGGCTGGGAATGACATGACGGGTCAAGTTCAAGTAAAGAGCTTTTATTGTGAATTGTACCACACTGTATAGCAAAAGCAGTACACCGTGAAATGAGACAGTGCCGTTCCAGGGCCAAGATATCAGATAAAAAACTACAAAAAAAAAAAGATACATCAACAACAACACATTACCAACGGTTAAAGAATAAACAGTGCAACACAGACAGTGTATCAAACAATTCAAAAGAAGAAACGGAAGCAGAAGCATTACATTTACCTGTAAACACAGTTCCTTTGATTAAGTGTGTGTGTTTGGAGGTAGTTCAGTTGATGCGGCTGCTCAGGATACTCTTGAAGGTCCCTCTATAGAGCATGTTCGGGATGGAGAGATGAGCTTTCCTTAGACAGCTACTGTTTTTTCAGGATCTGAAAAATCTCGACAGATGATGACAGTGTTGACGCACAGCACTGGAACTGGGTTAGTGTTGAGAATCAGCTCTGGTTTTCTTGTTGCGGACACATTTTCTCAGAAATCCCTTACAAGAAGCTCTAAAAAGAAGAAGTTGTGAAAAAATGCTGTGTTGGAGTGTCATGAAAGGAAGGTCCACGATCTGGCAGCCTGAGTTGACATCCTTGCTTGAATCAAGGCAGTAAATGCAGAAAACTTTGGTTCTGCTTTGTCACTGAGGTGGCTGTGAAAAGGAGCTCATGTGTAAATGTTGCTCTGGAAAGGAAGCGCTCCCTTCACAAGAATTTTTTGGACTATTGAGAATGGCAGCTCAGTGTTTGCCAGTTTTAAAACAGACCATTTTTGAAGGTCCTTGCACTGCAAGTCAATTTATTTCAGCTTCATGCTTGCTGCTTCTGCTTGTTTCAAGTTTTAGGCAATGACATTTTCCGTCTCTTTTTTTTTTTCATTGATAAAATGAACTCTGCGGGTGTGGCTTTGAGAGCCAGCTCTGGTCCATTCATGTCAGGCTGCCAGACACTGAGCTGATGGAGGGGCTCTGAAACTGAGCTGACCTCCTCTTCATTTCTTTATTTGGTGACCTAAAACAAGCCCACAAAATACTGGTTGGTCTACATGCCTTATGCTTGTTACACTTGTACAGTATATGATAAACATACTGTATAAAAATGCTAAAAAAAAAAGATATAAGAAATTGTAGTACCTTGAACCAGCGATGGCTGCTGAGTTTCCCCAAAGCGATCCTCTTCATGGGGCTCCTCTGCAGGCAGGACTGGACCAGTTGGCAGCACTCTGTGGAGAAAGATGGAGGAGTCTGATTATTATTACCTAAACTACATCTACTTGCTTTAATAATCACAATCCAAACAATAAGATTTGATGATGCTGAAACGTGAAGGCCAAAACTGATGAACATCACTGAATTATTCCTCTGTGTCATTTAGATTTACAGTTGGCTTTCTCTGCTGTAATAAATGGCCAGCTCACCTTTTGACAATCCAGATTTGATCCAAGTTCTTTCTTCTGTCAAGTCCAGGTCACTGTGTTTTGGAGGTTCTCCACACAGCAGTTCATACAGGAGAACCCCCAGTGACCAAACAGTTGCTGCTTTGCCAAAATGCCTGCCACTAGATCTATATTCGGGTGGACAGTAATCTTCACTCCCTGAAAAAAGAAGATTTTCTTCATTAGTGACAGTAAGAAAGCTGATGCTGTTCAAAATATGGTGTTGAAGAAGTAAAATCTCAAACTGCAGACTTGGACAATACATACCACAAAATGTTGCATATGCCGAAGTCTTCAGAAGGTCACCGCAGCCAAAGTCTATGAGTTTTACTTCATGAGTTTCCTTGTTGATCAGCAGTTTTTCTAGTTTAATGTCCCGATGGAGGACCCCTCGCTGACAGCACATGTGGGCAGCCTGCACTACCTGCCACATGATGTGCCGTGTCATGTTCTCGCTGAGGGTTCCTCCGTGCCGCTCCAGGAAATCAAAAAGGTCTTCGCAGGGTGAGGGACGCTCCAAGATCATTATGTAGGAGTCGGGACACTCCTGCCACTCCAGCATCTGGATTATCTGAGGAACGGTCGGACCATTGTTGGCAAGAATGGTTAGAGCAACCTCTAACGGAAGGGGTGTAGGATGACCAGGCTGTAGAGGAAAGACATTTGTTGTCAGAGATGCTTAAATTCCTTTTGGCTCTAATTAATGCATCTTGAAATAAAAACCAAGAGAGCTGCTTACAATGCTGAGGTAATCCATGTCACTGCTCTTCAAAACCACCTTCATTGCCACCTGATCAACAGAACAGATCATTAGTAATTGTAGCCCTGTGCTCTGAGCTCAAATCATCACAGTCATTCAACATTTTCAATGTCATGTGACACAATAACCAGACACTGAGAGAAATATTTTGCTAGATGTAGAGAGTAAAAATAATACCTCAAGACCATCCATCACACGAACTGCTTTAAACACTGTCCCGTATCCTCCCTGACCGAGCTTTTTCACAATTCTGTAGCGGCCCAAAATATCATCTGCAAAAAATAAAACGAGTAAACATTACAGAGAACACACAACAAGAGGATTAAAGCTGACATTTTAATTCATAATTTGATAGAATATTTGTCTATTATTTTGAATATTTCACATTTCTTCACAACTCAACTTAAGTAAAAGGCTTTTAATAAACCTAAAGTAGATAATTAACACATAATATATTAACATATGTTGTTGTAACAGCATGAACATTATTGAGAATATTTGAAGGTAAATTTACTGTCAATGTCTTGATCTGGACCTTGAACCTGCTTGCCACCAAGGCTGCTGCTGGAGCTGGATGTCTTGCTGGAGCTGGACGTTCTGCTTTAGGAACTGGAGCTGGCCTCGTCAAGACTCAGGCCACTGCAGAATTTAAGTCCCAAACTGAAGACTTGAAGGACAATACACACCACAAAATGTTGCATATGCCGAAATCTTCAGAAGGTCACTGCAGCCAAAGTCGATGAGCTTCACTGCCAGAGTGTCTTTTGTTTATAAGCAGGTTTTCTAGTTTAATATTTTGATGGAGGACCCCTCGCTGACAGCACATGTGGGCAGCCTGCACCACCTGCCACATGATGTGCCGCGCCAATTCCTCGCTGAGGGTTCCTCCGTGCCGCTCCAGGAAATCAAAGAGGTCTTTGCAGGGTGAGGGACGCTCCAAGATCATTATATAGGAGTCGAACCACTCCTGCCACTCCAGCATCCGGATTATCTGAGGAAGATGTGACCATAATATTTGACCATAATCAGATACGAGGTCCAAAACTCATAAAAATTACTCTTGTGATTTAGATTAACAGTTGTCTTTCTTCGCTATAATGAATGGTCGGCTCACCTTTTGACAATCCATATTTTGACCAAATCTGTGTATCAGTCAAGTCCAGGTCACTGTTTTTTCTGGCGGTTCTCCACACAACAGTTCAAATAGGACAATCCCCTGTGACCAAACGGTTGCTGCTTTTCCATAATACCTGCCACTATGTTAATATTCAGGAGGACCGTAATCTTCTGTGCCTGGAAAAGTAGATTTTCTATATTAGTGACAGTAAGAAAGCTGATGCTGTTCAAAATATGGTGTTTAAGAATTTAAGTCCTAAACTGCAGACTTGAAGGACAATACATACCACAGAATGTTGTGTAGGTAGATGTTTTCAGGAGGTCACCACAGCCAAAGTCGATTAGCTTGATTTCATAAGTGTCCTTGTTGATCAGCAAGTTTTCTTGAGTTGATTGAGCAGAGTCAGAGGCGCATTTGCCACTTCAGCATCCGGATTATCTGAGGAACATTTATACCTTCGTTTGCAAGTATTGTTAGAGCAACCTCTAACGGAAGGGGTGTAGGATGACCAGGCTGTAGAGGAAAGACATTTGTTGTCAGTGATGTTTAAAGTCATTTTTTGACTCTAATTAACATATCTTGAACTAAAAACCATAAGAGCTGCTTACAATGCTGAGGTAATCCATGGTGTTTGTCTTCAAAATGACATTTAATGCCAACTGATTATCAAAACAATTAGCTCAATTAACTCAAATCATCACAGTCATTCAACTTTTTCAATGTCATGTGACACAATAAACAAATTTGAACAGAGACTGAGAGAAATATTTTGCTAGCTAGATGTAGTGAGTAAAATATAATACCTCAAGGCCATCCGTCATGCGAACTGCTTCAAAGACAGTGCTGTAACCTCCCTCACCAAGCTTTTTGACAATTTTGTAACAGCCCAAAATATCATCTGCAAAAAGTAAAATTATCGTGAACAATTTGCTAGAAGATTTCTCAACTATTTTGAATATTTACTTTCTTCACAGCTCAATTAAATTGAGAACTGAAACATTCGTTGATGTTTGCACAATCTGTAACATGAACATTAGTTACAAAGAACATATAAAAGTCAATTAACTGTTAAAGTCTAGATCCGGAACTTGAACCTGCTGATCATCAAGGTTGCTGGAGCTGGACGTCCGGCTGGAGGAGGTTGAACTGGAGCTGGCCTCTTCATCAAGACTCAGGACGCTGCTGGTGTCATGTTCCTTTACTTCATAATTCTCCACAGAGAAATCCCTGAAAGAATCATAATATTCAGTATTTCTCTCATCAGAGGTGACACTTTGAGCAGAGAAGTAATTAGAGGGTGACCTGCTCATAATTTTTGTCGGCTGCCTCTCATTTGCCTCAACGGGATGAAGATAGTTGATCGCCTCGTTGGGGCAGGATTTTGTTTGTGCATTAAGATGGAAATGGACTCTTCCACGTTTGCGGTTAGCCTGCATGTCTACTTTAGGTGCAGCACGGAGATCACTGTATGCGGATGGCGCAGGAGAGGACGATAGGTTACACTTGCTGTTTTAAAGAGTTTCCTCAGATAACCAAGAAGGACTTTAATCGAACCAAGAACATTTCTAACTATAGGTTATTACTTCATTTTCTGTAAGGATGGAGTGACAGAAGAGATCAGCTTTACTTGTTTCAGGTCGATAATGAAGTCAGAGAAGCTGCGTAGTTTAAGTGGGGAGTTATATTTACACAGAAAGACATGATGATCCAGCTCATCTACAAAGACATTTAAATGTTTCAGAAGAAGCTGTCTATATATTTCTTTTTTCCCTTTTTTACTTTTACATGTCAAGATGACTATAGATTTAAATAAAACACACACAACTTTTAATTTAATAATTTTTACCTACCTATTTTACCTCTTTTTCAAGATTTAAGAGAAGTCCTTTGTGTCTCCAGAATGTCTGTAAAGTTTCAGCTCAAAACACCCATCAGATTATTTACTATACCTTTCAGAATATTGGATTTACTGCCCTAAACACAATGTAGCTGTTTTGGTTGCCTGTGCTTTTAATGCTAGTTCTCCCCGCCCACCGCTCCCACATGCCTGTCAGAGTGTTTCTGCCTCGACTGTGTCAGATAAACAGCACAGTGACAGACATGAAGAAAGCAGATCTTGCATAACGTTTGTAAGAAATACTAAAACACAGACACAGTGAGCGCGTTTAAACTTGCACTGTTTTTGTACGCATATGTGACAGGATATGTGTTTATATCCACTACTGTATGGATATCTATTATGTTGCTGTACAAAATAAACCTGATTTACCGTCAATTTATTCAGGGATTGATTTTTTGATTAATCAGGATAATGCAAATCAAATCACTAATTCTTTATTTTTCAAACTTGAATTTCTAAAAGAAGAAATGAGGAAGAATTCAAAGAAACTTATTAACTCTTTATCTGCAGTTAAATATGCCTAAAGTTTATATTTATGGCAGATAGTCTAAAGACAAGGTATAACAGATGTTTAATGTACATAAACATGCATTTGACTGATGTGATTGTCTGTAAAAGTATCAACACAGATACTGTCAGAATATAGAGAATAGCCAGAATTCCAATCATAGTGCTCATTAAATCTGAAATTTGCATTTATTTATTATTATTTTTGTTTAATTTGCATTTATTTTAGCTTTGTATAATTTGTGTTTTTTATTTATTCGGTTTTCTTTTTCAGTTCATGAAAAAGTTGTTTGACCACCAGTTTCAGTCTTTGTTTACTAAAATAACCTTGTAGCAGGCACCATTTTAAAACCATGACGGCTGAGACAGTGAGATGAGCAAGTTCAAGTGCAAAAAGGTTTTATTGGCATCTCAACAGTACACAGTGAAATGAGACCATGTTTATCCAGTTACCACATAAAAATCACACACAACTACACAAAACAGTAGGAGACACACAAACAACACAAAACACCTCAGAACCAAGGGTTAAAGAGTAAACTACCTGATGATGTAAAGTGCAACCTGGTGCAAACAGTGCAAGACAGACATTAAAGTGCATTAAACAATTCAGAAGCAGAACATTACATTTATCAGTAAACACAGTTCCTAGTGTGTGTGTTTGGAGGTAGTTCAGTTGATGCAGCTGCTCGGGAGGCTCTTGAGCACAGGTGTCAAATCCAGTTCCTTGAGGGCCGCAGCTCTGCACAGTTTAGCTTTAACCCTGATTAAACACACCTGATCAAACTCATTAGGTCACTCAGGCTTGTTTGAAGGTGTGTTGAAGTAGGGTTGGAACTAAACTGTGCAGAGCTGCGGCCCTCCAGGAACTGGATTTGACACCTGTGCTCCTGAGGGTCCCTCTATAGAGCATGATATGGATAGGGGGACGAGCTTTCCTAAGACACCTACAGTTTTGTCAGGATCTGTAAGTGTTGACAGATGAGGACAGTGTTGACACACAGCACTGGAACTGGGTTAGTGTTGAGAATCAGCTCTGGTTTGCGTCTTGCAGGCACATTTTCTCATCAATCCATTACAGGACGTTCAGGCACAACGGTGTTTATAAAACAATAATTTATTTGAGTCTCATGACAAGAAGATGTAGAAGATCAGATGATATAATCTTCTTGACGGAGGGCTCTGGAACTTCTTTTTTCTTTATCTGGTGACCTGAAACAAGCAACACACACATTTGTTGGTCTCTATGTTACACACACCTCCTGTATAAAAATGGTCAGGAAAGAAAATGTAGAATTGAATACCTTGAACCAGCGATGGCTGCTGAGTTTCCCCAAAGCGATCCTCTTCTTGGGGCTCCTCTGCAGGCAGGACTGGACCAGTTGGCAGCACTCTGTGGAGAAAGATGGAGGAGTCTGATTATTAATACCTAAACTACATCTACTTGCTTTAATAATCACAATCCAAACAATAAGATTTGATGATGCTGAAACATGAAGGCCAAAACTAATGAACATCACTGAATTATTCCTCTGTGTCATTTAGATTAACAGTTGGCTTTCTCTGCTGTAATAAATGGCCAGCTCACCTTTTGACAATCCAGGTTTGATCCAAATCCTTTCATCTGTCAAGTCCAGGTCACTGTGTTTTGGAGGTTCTCCACACAGCAGCTCATACAGGAGAACCCCCAGTGACCAAACAGTTGCTGCTTTTCCATAATATCTGCCACTGGATCTAAATTCAGGTGGACAGTAATCTTCAGTCCCTGAAAAAAAGAAGACTTTCTTCATTAGTGACAGTAAGAAAGCTGATGCTGTTCAAAATATGGAGTTGAAGAAGTAAAATCTCAAACTGCAGACTTGTAGGACAATACATACCACAGAATGTTGTATATGCTGAGGTCTTCAGAAGGTCACCGCAGCCAAAGTCGATAAGTTTCACTTCTAAAGTTTCCTTGTTTATCAGCAGGTTTTCTAATTTAATGTCCCGATGGAGGACCCCTCGCTGACAGCACATGTGGGCAGCCTGCACTACCTGCCACATGATGTGCCGTGTCATGTTCTCGCTGAGGGTTCCTAAGTGCCGCTCCAGGAAATCAAAAAGGTCTTCGCAGGGTGAGGGACGCTCCAAGATCATTATATAGGAGTCGGGACGCTCCTGCCACTCCAGCATCTGGATTATCTGAGGAACGGTCGGACCATTGTTGGCAAGAATGGTTAGAGCAACCTCTAACGGAAGGGGTGTAGGATGACCAGGCTGTAGAGGAAAGACATTTGTTGTCAGTGATGTTTAAAATCATTTTTGGCTCTAAATAACATATCTTGAAGTAAAAACCAAGAAATCTGCTTACAATGCTGAGGTAATCCATGTCACTGCTCTTCAAAACCACCTTCATTGCCACCTGATCAGCAGAACAGATCATTAGTAATTGTAGCCCTGTGCTCTGAGCTCAAATCATCACAGTCATTCAACTTTTTCAATGTCATGTGACACAATAACCAGACTTGAACAGACACTGAGAGAAATATTTTGCTAGATGTAGAGAGTAAAAATAATACCTCAAGACCGTCCCTCACACGAACTGCTTCGAACACTGTCCCGTATCCTCCCTGGCCGAGCTTTTTTACAATTCTGTAGCGGCCCAAAATGTCATCTGCAAAAAGGAAAATGAGTAAACATTTCAGAGAACACACAACAAGAGGATTAAAGCTGACATTTTAATTCATAATTTGAAAGAAAATTTGTCTATTATTTTGAATATTTCACATTTCTTCACAACTCAAGTTTATTAAAGCCTTTTACTTAAATTAAGTAGATAATTAACACATTATAATGTTGTTGGAACACATGAACATTATTGAGAGCATTTAAAGGTCAATTTACTGTCGATGTCTTGATCTGGATCTTGGACCTGCTGACCACCAAGGCTGTTGCTGGAGTTGGATGAGCTGCTGGAAGTGGAGCTGGATGTCTTGCTGGACCTGGACGTCCTGCTGGTGTTGGAGCAGGACTTCCTGCTGCAGCTGCTGTTGGAGCTGGACGTCCTGCTGGAGTTGCTGTTGGTGCTGGACGTCCTGCTGGAGGAGCTGGAACTGGAGCTGGCCTCGTCAAGACTCAGGCCGCTGCTGGTATCAGTTTCCGTAAGTTTAGGATTCTCCACAGAGAAATCCATAAAACAATCATAATATTCCATATTTCTCTCCTCAGAGGTGACACTTTGAGCAGAGAAGTAAGAAGAAGACGACCCGCTCCTCATCTTTTTTGATGGTCGCCTCTCCTCAACGGGCTCAAGATGGTTGAACGCCTCGTTGGGGCAGGATTTTGTTTGCGCACCATGATGGAAATTGTGCGCAATAACGCAATCGCTGTCAGAAAAACAATCTCTCTTTCTCTTCTGTCCCATGATCTCAAAAGCGGTTTGATAAAACATTAACGTTGAATTCGTGTAACGCAGACAGAAAAATCAAGCCAAATGACAAATCTGTACAGAGAAGCTGTTTAAGAATGCAAGACATTCTAAATGTTCTATTCTAATTATGACGCAACAGCAGAGGTTTGTGTTATTTGAAACGCAGTGGGAGAAATTATGATACAGAAAAAGAATTATGTAATTCCGGCCAAATAGACCTGTATAAATATACACATGCTCATATTTTTAATAAAATATGTTTAAATATACTTAGATTTAATAAGATGTCACAAAAATAAATACTATAAATACATTTACTAGGCCTATATACATTTTACTCTTGTGTTACTACATTTTATATTGGCATATCTAACCTACAGGCATGATTTTATATATATATATATATATATATATATATATATATATATATATATATATATATATGTGTGTGTGTGTGTGTGTGTGTGTGTGTGTGTGTGTGTGTGTGTGTGTGTGTGTGTGTGTATTTAAGGCAATAAACATTACATTTTTATTTGTGGAAAAAATTCTTAAATTTAATTTAAAGAACGAAATACGCTCACATTTGTTCGGTTTTGTTCATTAAACTCAATGCACGAATGCCTGTAAAAACGAAGTCTAAATATATGGTCTGTTTTTTGCATTTGTTTTCCTTTCGATATTAATTTCCGAAATATTTTATTTCAGATATACGTTCATTTAAAAGCCCCAGCACAATTCAGTTTGTTTAGCTTTTCGGCTATTTGGTCATTTGGTAAATATCAAATATATGTGAAGTTATTACATTTTTATTCATTTAAATGTTTTTTTTTCTCACGTGTCAAAAGATTAAAATTCAATAAATGACTTGAATGAATTAACGAAACGTTTTTCCTCCTTTTTCTGCATTGTTCCTGTGGTCTAATATAGTCTAAGTATTTATTAAGCGTTGTCACGCCAGCCAGTTCAACACCAAGCAGCTGTAGACGCCAATTTACGTCAAAAGACCTGCTACCATAAAATATTTAAAATATATATGTTTGTTGGGTTTTTACAATAATATAGACATAACAATACATCTTCAAAAGACACGCATAGAAAAATATCAACACAAAACAAGGGAGAAAAAAGAAGAAGAAAAACTCCAGCTCAGATTATAAAACAGGATTATACCCCGAATAAAACAGATCAGAAAAAGGGCTAATACTTCGCTTGTCTTTCAGATAATACTACAGTTACAACATTCATCTTAGCAAGGGCAAAGTCTAGTTTCCAAAACCATATTAAAGTGTATTAATTCCAAAGGGAAATTCACGTCACAGCAGAGTTCTCCATATAAGATCAATAAAATAAATAATCAAAATATGAAGTCCAAACCTTATAGAGAGAAAAAAAAAAGTTTTGTTTGTGTAAAATACATTTAAGTAGTTAATATACACTTGAGCTATCAAATTGTTTATTTGTGCTGTTATTAACTATAGCTTACAGGTAACGTGCTTTCATAATTTCACACAAGAATATTTTCAACAAGAACTTTTATTTGGAGAAAATGTCAATATAAAATGTCCCCCTTTCCATTTCCTTCTGTTTAAACTCTCAGAAAAAAATGGTACAATGTGGTACCAAAGAAGATACAAACCCTTGTCACTGGGGCAGTACCTTTTTATGGAACAAAATTGTACCTTAAGACAAAGAAACTAATTTGTACCATTGCAGTTTGTACCTCTAAGAACGATTTATACCATGGGAAACCAAAATATACCCTCATCAAAGATACAAATGTTTTACCAGTTGTTTTGTATTATTGCATTATAGAACTTAATAATTATTGTTTATGAGTTTCTTTAAACATATGCTTTTAAATGATGATTCATGTTTTAATATGGAAATTATTTATAAATCTCTTTGCCTTTCCAGTAATATTTATTTTCATAGATATTGTAACAAAGAAGGAGTTGTCCAACACTTATGTACATTCTCAGAAATAAAGGTACAGGAGCTGTCACTGGGGCAGTACCATTTCAAATAATATATATTAGTACCCAAATGCACCTAAAAAGTACCTCTGAAGTACCATTATGGACCCTTCAGGTACAAATATGTACCGTTTGAAAAGGTACCGCCCCAGTGACAGCTCCTGTAGCTTTATTTCTGAGAGTGTACCTTTTTATGAGAACAATTATGTACTTTCATTCGAATTGTACTATAAAAGGTACAGAACAGTATCAGAGGTCTTTTCTGTACCATATGAGGTACAACTTTTACAAAGGTACAAAAACATTATTTGTACCACTGTGTGCCTCTTTTTCTGAGAGTGTATAATATAACGAATAGAGTTTTCTGCAAATAAATTCTCTAAAAGCAAATTTAGGTTGGGTTTGATTATTTTACGCAAGGGTAAATTTGGTTTACAGTCTTGAGTCCTCATTTCCTAACAGAACCACACAAAAAAAAAAAACTAAAATAGTGAAAACAACAAATGAGCATAAAGACATAAAACATAAACATACAAAACACTCTCTTTTAATAAGTAAATAAAACAATAAAGAATAAATAAATAATCACTTTAAATATATAAAACAATCTATAAAATGTAAAATATACAAGTCACAAACATACCTCAGCTTTAGTCTATATGCCAAAGATGGCCAAACAGGACCTGTGGGTCAAAGCCCATGGTAACCTTTGATTTGGCCCGCCATGCTATCTGAAAATTATGAAGAAAGTTGGGGGAAATGGCTTTAAAAGAGATTGTCATTTCAAATTCAACATAACCTTTTGTTTTTTAAATTGTTGAGCTAGAAAAAAGCTAACTGAAATTAAATGTTTCAGTTAAATGTTGTGAATGAATCAGGTTTTTTGTACATGTAAAAACTGTCTAAAGGACAGAGGACAACGCACAAGACATTTGCAAGCAAATCAAGGGAAAGGCAGGTGCAGCTTGACTAATTCATTCAGCAATGATCTACATCGTGAAAAGGGGGAATTGTTTATAGTTTTACTGTAAGAAGTTCATTACAAAATGTAAAGTTATTTATACAAATGATTTTTTTTCTGTTTATTTATTCAAATAATAAATTGGGAAATCATGATGGCTTTAATGTAATACAGGTGGTATCTAACTTTGGCCCACCACCCTAAATCAAGTTTTTTTTAGACCTTCTTCAAAAAAGTTTGGGCACCCCTGTTCTACGCCTCTAAATGTCTATGGCTGCTGGTATGGAACTATTTTTGTATCGTTTAGTTCTACAGCTTGATAATAAAATGTTTAAGACACATTAAAAGTAGTTTATTAAATAAAACACAAATGAACATTACCTACAAAAAACAAACAAACACAAAACGCACATCATGGCAAATCCAGAAAATTGATAAAGTGAACTGGTCCCTTTATTTTTCTATAAATAACCTATCTTGAAATTTGATCTGTCACAATCACCTTAATTTGTGTAAATTAATCAAATGTGGCCTATGTAAAAGATAAGAGCGGGAACTTTTTAGAAATACGAACTTTCTTCATCCTCGAGTTACCCACTTGGGGGTGCTGTTGTCGTAAAAACAACGACATTATCAGATTTTTGTTATTATTTTAATATTTATTTTTAGTTTATTATCTATATTATCGTCGTAATACATTTTTCTTGACTTCATGTTATTTCTAGTCATTGTAGGCTGCATTTAATCAAAAATAATTTATTATATTTAGTATTTATCACACGTATATTTATTTGTGATAACTAAATATTTGAATGGTTTGCAGAAATAACTGATGCAGTGGTTTTGCTAATGTAATATATTAGTTTAATTTAGCAATGTAATTTGTTTCTTAAGTAGGCGATATACCAATTATAAATATGTAAGCGATATTTCAACGTGCGCACGAATCAATGTTCTTATAACATTCAACGTAATTTAAAAGTCGCTTAGGTTTATATGGATTTATCTTCGGTAAATTCACAAAAAACTAAAACCTTTGTTAAAACCTTTCTAAAACCTAAACCTTTGGCTTAGTTTCATGTCGCAGGTTGATGACGTGGCGTTTCTGTAGAAACCAAATAGCTTCTTGTTCGTTGTCGGTTGTGTCGCTTTCCCTCAGCGGAATATAATCGTGTAATTTACACATAATTGACTGTAAAAGTTGCATATTCACCCAAGATATGAGAAGGAAGAAGGTAATCGAGCATTTGACAATCAACAGGA